CAACACACCGTAAAAAAAAAAAAAAAAAAAAAAAAAAAAAAAAACCTCTCAAAAAAAAAATCCATCTAGTAACCTTATCTAAATGAATTAAGCCAGATTTCAGGCAAAATGAACCCTAATTTTTCAAGTGCTTTGCCTGTATAGTAAATCCTTGTTTATTTAAGAAATATTTTCAAAGGCCTTGAAGCATGCTCCATTTCACAAGTGCCACCAGAGGATCTCTCTCTCTCTAATCTGTGTTTCAAAAAGAAACAATGTTTTTAGAAACCAGATCATGAGAGCTATTGGGCTTGGAGAAATGTGAACAGTCTTTTCTTGGGATCTCAGCACTGAGCCGTCAACTAGGCTCTCTCACTGGCCACAGCCTCATTCCAGCTTCTCGTTTGATCCAGGGGATCAAATGTATTCTTGGGAGAAAATGAGGGAAATCCCAAGAATCTTTGGGATCACTTACAAATGACAGTATGCTGCTAGAGAATGCTGAAGAGCCTACCACATGATAGAATATTACTACGGTAATTCAGAGACCTCACAAGTTAAACTCAGGTCATTTAGCCAGGACTGAAGCATAGAGTCATTTATAGGAAAAGGACTGCTACATCAATAGGGCAGGCTGAGGCTTTCACCTCTTAGAATAAACTTGGATACTTTGAAAGCACTAATTCCTATGAGTTTGAAACACTGCTTACGAGTTCCCTATAAGAAGACTTCAGAAAGGGTGTGGGAATAAAATTTAAGTAAAAGTTCGCCTTGGTGCAAAAAAAAAAAAATTAAAATTAAAATCTATGTATTTTTTTCATAATATGTGTCCCATGAAATTCTAAAGACCCTCTCTCTCATATTACTTAAACGATATTTATTAACTTCAGTGAAAATACCTTTTCTTGACAGTATTCTAAATATTGCTTAAAGTAACTCTGTGATTAAATTGCATTAAAAAAAGAAAACCTTTCAGATTGAGAGACTAATGTACACTTTTTGCAAGTAAAGCAGGTAAAAATTTTTCAAATTGGTTAATTTTTTAAATACCTGATCAGAAACAGAGAAAACTGTGGTTCTCAAGTCCTCAAAAGCGTTTAAATTGATGTCTGTATTAAAGTTACAAGCTTCCCCAGTTGCTCACTGCTTTACTGAGTGTTTATTTATGGTGGTTTGGAAACTGCTCTGAACCAGATCAACTCTCCACCTGATCTCTTCAGTTCTGACCTTTCCAGGTTTGGATTTTTCTAATTTTATAAAATTGCAGGGTCACAGAAGTCCAGGTTAGGGACTGTCATATACAAACAGTGTCTATACTGTCATTTACTGCTGCAGAATTATGGAGGTTGGAGGCAAAGGGGAAAAGGAAAAGCAATATCCCTCATACTAATCTCCTAAGGATCTGTGAAACAAGATTTCTCTGATCTTACAAAGGGAGCAAAGGACTCCAGCAGGGGGCGGCTTTCAAGGACTGAGTGGGGGACAGCTGACTGTGAACAGGCCCTCAAGAAAAGAGGAGAAACAACATTGGCGTCCTTTAAGGGTATACCCTGAGGAATTTACACCCTACCTTGACTAGTCCCCATTACTAACACAACAAAGGGCAACTGTGATGCTTTAAAATCAGTTTGGTGGCTTTGCATTCATTTGGTTAGTTGCATTAATTTCATTCATTTTCAACTAACCAAATAAGAAAATAATTCCCCAGAAGACAAATAATTATTATTTCCATTTTTATAAACTCTAGGTAAGCTTGTACTATGCCCATGTAAGTTTATGTAAACAAAAACACTCCAGGAGATAAGCAGATGTAATAAAAACATTCACAATCCCACAACTGGAAAAGTTGATTTCATTTCTAGGAATAAACCTTTGCTGGATGGAGTCCTAATAGCCATAAATTATCTTTTAAAGAATCCAAGTTAAGTATTTTCATGCATCGCTTCACCTAAATGGTGAAGCAGAACGGAAAACTAAGGTAAGCAAATATTTTTACACCATGCTTAGTAATGCAGAAACTGTATTCCTTTTCCAACTCTGGCTTATCTGACTCACCCAAGGACTACAAATCCCACCCTCCCTATCAGTCAGCATGAGCCACTGTCCTCCTGCCCACTGTTTAGGAATGTTTATAAGGATGCCGCCACTTCATAGGTCCTTAGTAACCTTACAGAGGAAGGACTTTGCACATGATCAGATGTGCAAACAACAATCATCTGCTTAGAGACTGTGTTCTTGCCCTGCATCTTAGTCTTCAGAACTGCAGTGACACAGGTCTCCTCAAGGGGGCCAGGGTTTGTAAGAATGGTTTAGCTCCCACACCAAACAAGTGCTGGGAGTGAAAACCTAATCCTTAGGACACACACTCTCCATTGTACAACATATGAATTGCCGGGGCCGCTATAAGCAGTAATGACAGAAAGGATGGTAGGGCAGTTTGCAAAGACACCAGCTCTGGACACCACTGGGAAAGAAGACAAAGGGTCTTCCATGGAATCTGTAGCCAGGGATAACGAACAGTGAAACCACGCTAATTCCTAAAGCAAATGCCTAAAGAAGAACAAAGCTCTGGGAATACTCTGCAGTCAGCTGGGCTCTCATTTTCCAGAGTCACAGAACCCGTTAAAGCAAATCAGACCTAGTCACAAAATGGTTTATGAATTCCAGTCTTGTGCAGGAAACCGTGGGGCACTTACAAGTCCAGCAACCCTAAACACAATCTTGTGGTCAAATGAAGTTTAACTTTCTATCAGATTTTGGGCAAAATGAACTACCCTAGTGAGCCTGGGCCAAATCTGGCAAAAGAACAAGAACAGAGTGCATAAAACTGTCAATGGTGAGACCATGAGAATGAATTCCCATAGTCAGAGGGAGTTATGCATGAATAATGCCTGATGGATTAAACTCTAAAAGATCTATGAGAAGGGAGGTACGTGAGAACCTGAGACCGTGAACCGCCACAGACTGGGGCCAATCGTGTTCTCAGACACACTAATGGGCACTTTGGCACTTGTGCTACAGACAGAAAAATGCACCAGTATTCACGTCGACCTGAACAGGTCATCAGTGTCACAAGAACGACACATTAGTTACTTTGGAAAAACTCTTCCTTTCCAATTAAGGCAACTTACCTCTTGATTCTATTTCAGTGAGAAAAATACAAGGGAAATCATGTATTCCTATGCAGACAGTGTGCATATGACCACAGACACTTTCCCAAGTACATGTAGCAGCTTCTGAGGCATTTTCTAAATTCCATCTCTCCACTCCACCTCCAGTCAGCTCCTAACACTTCTGGAGAGACAATCATAAGGGCCTGTTTTCAATGTCTCATGCACAAGTAGGATTTTGAAACATCATGAGCAATAAATATGCTGATGTTAGCTTGATATAGGACTTTTGGTCACAGCTACTTCAACTATAGATTCAACACTTTCCCACATGGCCAAGTGAAGAGGATTTCGAGCCTTCTGATTCCTCAGCAGCACACGGGGACCCCTCAAGTTCAGGAGTTTAGAGAAGCAAATTATTTTTCAACACTGGTACTGGACAACCAAGAGCTTTCCACCAGCCACTAGCTCCTTCTGAATTCTCATGGGTGTCGCCCAAAACGCAGTAACAAACAGGATTCTTACCAGCTGCTTTCTCATGAGGTGCTGGAAAGCAACCCTCACTTGTTTTCTGGAGGGGAGCAGTGTTCCTTGATCTAAATAAATCCTTTCCTTCTCCTAAAACTTCTAAAATAAACTTTTATTTAAAAGCTAACAACTCGAGAAGAATGCCTACAGGCTGAAAGAGAAGTATTTTCTTTGACAACTGTTGATAGTTCAGACTGCAGTTTCCAAGTTTAGCACCCAGATGGAAGCACAGGGTAATCAATAAGGCTCCACTTCCCCAGTCTGTGTTTACTGCACTCTTCGTGCGTGCTAAGGTGTGCTCACAATCACGTGCCCAGGGTTAAAAATTAATGCTCAGAACTATGGTTTATGCACATGCAAAACTCAAGGAAAATAAGCAGTGGAGGTGGTGTGTGCGTGCCCAGAGGGTAGGGGAGTTGCCGGCACCCCAGCCAGAGGGCTTCCCGTCCCAACTCCCACCCAGCATCCAAGATAGCAGTATCAGAACCTTTCCCCGCCGGCTTCAGGGGTGACACTGCGTCAATCCTAATGCCCGGCAGCCCCTACGTCTACCTGGAGCACTCTTTCAGGCCTCCGGTCCAGCAGGGCTGCCCTGGAAAGGTCCCCGGTGCCCCCAGCAGCCCGGAGTCACCCCACCCCGCGCGCACCGGAGCCTTTGTCCGGCTTCTCCCAGCGCCTCGCTCCCCAGCGCCCAGCAGATACTCCCAGCCCACGCCCCAACTCACCCGTGCGGAGCAGCCCTCCCGGCCGCGGCTCGCTGAGCCGCTCAGACAGGTGTGGACTCCAGGAGGGCGCGCGCGGCTCCCATG